TTTTTTGCATTTTAATTCATTCTATTTTAGCAAAGAAATAAATGTGTGTATGTACTGTACAATAATAAGTCTTCCAATTAGTGCTCCAAGGAAGTGCAAAGATAATCGGCAAGGTCTTTCTTATCTTGCAATTATATAACTTTGTGTCATTAGTACATTTACTCTATGGACGACAAAATACCAATCTTCCAGAGTTGATAAGTAAAATAGTATTTGACCTAGCTAGTAGTGCATAGTAGCAGTCTAAATTGAGGATTGGCCCCTGGAATTGCCTGGAAAAAGCATTCATCTTGACGTCAGACAGAAGATGTTGTACGAGTTAATTAAAAAGTGACAAATTAGCCAAGATACATCACTAGAAGCTAATACTCGATTGCCACGCAAAATGGTCGCATAATGTCATTTGATAAAATGGATTCGTCAACGATTCAACAATAAGAAATTTGAATTACGAGTATTGGCAGACTATAGCCTGCAGGGATTATAATTTAAAAGAATTACTTTCCCACATGAAGACAATATTAATGTTGAGCCCGTATTGAATCATTTTCATATTGAATTCTCTATAAGTTTTATCTCTTTTTTATATGGCCAGTTAATTGATGTTAATATAAATCTATCTAGTTATTACTTCTTCATTTTGTCTTTAATTTATATACATAGCTTTGACTATTTATTTCAATATTAATGTTTACCACCACAATTTTAAATTTTATTTTTAGAATGGTATCTTTACATTGTTCCAAAAATATTATTATTTTTTATTTCTCTCATTATTTCTATCTTTTTTCATGATTTTCAATAGTTAAGTTACTGGGGATACATGTGAAAAAATGCATATATCCCTAAAGTAAAGGATTTTATTTTAATTTATCTTCTTTTTCGGTAGAGTTAATTTGTATGTGGGCTTGATACACATAGGATTATTATAACCAGCTTAAACATTAAAAAGTATATGCAATGACTTTCAACCTCAGAGTTAATATACTGTAGGTGAGCAATATTGAGATTGAACCAAGCACTTACATATCTTCATGGATGAGTGCACACACTACATCCAGATTAATTAAACTATGTTTTTCTTAACACTTGATAAAGTACCATTAATCAAAAATGCTTGGAATGACATTTTCAATTACATCTCCTCATCAAAACATGTCAAAATAGTGTGTTTTTTATTAGCAATGTTACAAACATTGTTTTAGCCTGGCCCAGAATTTTCCAGATTCCTGCCCCCTTCTTGAGATTCCTCATGGCTGTGTCAGTATTGGCCTAGGACAGTGAAAACCATGATGCTTGAAAAAACATTGCTTAGGGAGATTTAACAGCTGCATATACATGGTGTATGCACTACTTGAAGGCGTAAGCACGCAACCATTACTGCGTTCTGTTTGAACAATTTCACAAGGAGGTATCATACAGTATTAACAAACACCACTCTTGTGTTCCTTGATCAAATATAAAATTCATTATCAATTTTAGTTTCTTATTTTTCATAAACAGTTTATGAATATTCAATGATGATGATTTCCTGGTGGGTGTTTAACACTGTTCTACTCAAACTCAACAAATCATCTTTTCTTAATCAATATGACATCTTAATAGAGAAATGGACAACTTATAGTTTTGGTGATCACATAACCAATAGATTCACCCCCAGCATCTCCCTCTTCAGAAGCTTATTATTAAACAGTCATCTACAAAGTATTTTAATGCGAAAGGAAATGTTTGGATACATTAACAAAAGCATACAACAATAATAATTGATGAGAATTGATGAGAATTTGGTTTTAGTGAGGATCTTTGGCGAACATATGTAACACTACACTGCTGTTGAAACTTAAGTAAATTATCCAAGATCAAACCCATCCATTAAATTTCGATATCACTATAATTCAAGCAGTAAAATATGAGCAATCAAATACTATACATCCACTAACAGTTTCAGATTTTTTTTTTTTTTTTTTTTTTTTTTTTTTTTTTTTTTTTTTTTGGCTAGTAATTTATTCAGCAAGCATTTTAGAAGAAAGCATTAAGAAATATTTTATCATTATAATATCAATTGATTTTGGGATGCCCCAAATATCTCAAAATGGAGAAATTTTTTTTTGACAATAAAGATCACCAATAATGGAAGAAAAAAAATAGTTTAACCATAGCACAATCATCATTATCATCATCATAATCAATAGGGTTCTACCTATAATAATTGGCAGAATCAACATCATTTTTTTGTTTGTATTTCTATTGAATATTTACGTATTATTTTTGAATACTTACATATTGTTTTTGAATATTTATGTATTATTGATTTTACTAACATAGATGTACAATTTGTTATAATAAATTATTTTTTTAAATAATTTTCCCAAACCATAATCATAATCACACCTTCTTCAGACAATTCCTGAATCCTACATAGCAGTAATGAGCTTTAATTTAAATCACTGCTGTCATCCAAGGGGGGAGGGGGAAGGATCACTTTGTGTACTACTGAAGGCAGTCGCTCTAAGGAATGCTGAAAAAGTTTCTTTTCAGATGTCCGGAAACGTGAGCTTTTTCAGGAAGTATTTTACAAGCAAAATTTTGCGAAAATTTGAGTGCACAACACCGTATTTCACCACTGTGTACATTATCAAATATTCTAATTCCTCCGATCTTGCTGGTTACGGGCCTGATCATCCTCTCCATCACTACTGCCCCATCATTAACTGTTAGTAATGTGATTCAAGTAACTTGTCATGTTTTTCTATCATCGCACTACATAGTGACACTGACAACAAATGTCACAACATCATGAGATCATCACTTGATGATGAGTAATTATGAATTGTTGCACAATGCTGGTTTTGAACTGTCAATATCAACATAAAGAATTGTTTAAGCATGCTAGGCAAATCTTGATGATACTATACAACTTGATGCACAAAAAAATTTGGGCCAAGAGAAAATTAGGGCCCTAAAATTTGGATGTTATTTAACATTAACATTTACAATTCAATTACAAAAATTAGAAGTATAGTTTAGGCCCTATAAAAAATATTATTAATATCTAGGCTTGAAAATTGATAAGGGAGGAGGGAGGTGTTTTTTTTTTCTTGTTTTTTTTTTTGTTTTTTTTTTGTTTTTTTTGTTTTTGTTTTTTTTTTTTTTTCTGCTGAAGCCAAATGTCACCCTTGGGTTGTTTGCTGATGCATTGTTATTCAAGGTAAAACGTTATTGAGATGATACAAACAATAATTATCTACTAACTATTTAATAAATAAGTTAGTATTTAATAAAATAAATTTCAAAAAAATATATATATATATTTTTTTATTTCAAATACAAAATTTTATTTTTCAGTACCACAAAAGACATTTGCACGAGGGTGATAAACTAATAAATTTTTTTTATTGGGCCTTATAGTAAAATAAATCAATATTGTATTCAGAATTAAAACAGAATTAAACAATTTGAAAAAAATAATCCCCCTCACCCTGCCCTTACAGTAGGCCTATACTTTGATTCCACTACGTGGTCAAAAGTTAGGAGAACCCACTTCTTTCTGTGTGCTGTTACAGTGGCAGCCACGGTCCGCTGATTTCAAAGAAACTACCAGTAATAAAAATCTGCAAATATTTTGAACTTGCAAGAAAGGTTATTTACGAGAGTTTTATGCTTGTTCTCAAAAGATGAATGACTTATATAATACCACATTACATGCATCATTCATAATGTCATGATCATGATGAC